TCTACTGTAGCCTGCCTTTAACGGGCACAGTGAAAGTAGCTTGAGAGTAGGAAACTTTGGGTGTAATGGGGACTCCCTGTACAAAGATAGATCACAAAGTTGCAACCTCACTGAGCGGAATTCTTCTGCAAATGGGAACAAATATAATAAATGTCAAAGTCTTAACAGTAGAGTTTGAAGAAATAAAGCAGTAAAACTTAATATTGTTAAGCCACATCTTTATTCAATTAAGTCCAGATATCGAGAGGTAGTTGATTGCCAGAGTAGAGGAGAACTTGCATGTACTTAAGTAGATTTCCTATACTACCAGTTGCTCCCCATTACTACTCTGCATTCACGAGCACTCAACTCTCTTGGGCTGTCTAGCCAACCTCTATAGATCAGACCAAAGATCTTCTGTAGCAAACTAGACCATGCTGTCGTTTGCTGACATCCACTCAACAGAAGTGTTTTAGCCACTGTATCTACAATGCAACTGCTGGAGTAAAAACTCATCATATGGCAGATATGTCAGTGGAGAGCTAACATGTTCGAGGAGATACAATACCGACTATGGAACTCTCTACCCATATACTCTTAGTCTTCTATGAGCATCCACTGCTTCTAAACATCTATCCAGTTCTACTTTATTCTATATCATCCAGGATGATGGCCTTGTATCTCTCCTGATTAACTCATTCTGAGATTGACTACCAATAGGCACTGCCCAGAGTCCACCCTCCTAGAAGTAGGTCTCATCGTAAAATGAGACTAGTATCTCAGTCTCCTTAATGATTCTCTAATACTATTACACTTTTGGGGCAACAGACTTCGGTTACCTTGCCTATAAGCCTCTGGTAACTTAACATACTACTTTAGACTTCAAAGTGGTATTATTTTATCAGCTCTGGTCTGTTTTGCATGAAACCATGTGGAGACTATTCTCCAGGTTTACCTCTATCCCCTCAAATATCCTGTGGACAGTTTCTAGTTAGCCAGACAGTGTCAGAGTATACGGTATTACTGGAGTGTCTCCACTTGTAGACCTTTACTAGGCTTACAGTAACTCTCCATACTCTAGTCCATGATGCTAAGAACTTATAACAGGGCTGAAGGGGAGTATTAGCCACTACACCTCCAAGTTACAGCTTGTTCGAAGCTCAACTAGTTGTGCCGGAGTGATCAACACAACATGAGTTTTGAACGTCCTATGTAATCTCGTGTGACAAACAATCTAGTAACTTCCCCTGAAGCCCTGTATAACAACTTACTTTCAAGGCAGGGTAACCCATGGCAAAAGATATAGTAACTCTGGTTCGAAAGTAGAATAACAGCACCCTGAGTTACCCTACAGAGTCGGGTAACTCTACCCAGACCTACCTTCAAGCAATTCAGAATAACTCCCAAATTGACTACTTGGGTTATTCTACCCAGTAGGGTAACCTCCACTCCTTACTAGTATTTATATACTTCTTAGTATGGCCTAGTATATCCAACTGAGATACCTAACTAACAGTACCTCTACTCGGTAGACTTTGGTCTACCACCATTCCTACCGCAATAGTCTCTTAATACTGTTATGTGTATAGGTTTAGCTAACTGTAATAGTACTCTGTGGAGTCTCATTACAAGTTTGAGGACAATGGAAGTATAAAGAAGAAAGCTTATCCTCCAAGATATAAGGTTGGAGGCTTCACGAGACCTATTATCCTAATTATGTATTTTGAATCTACATTTTCATCCAATGATTCACAGAGGCAAGCATGGGTCAAGCAACGCTCACAAATAATCTCATCAAATGGCCTTAAATAGTGGTTTATTGTATCGGAGCTTTTTCTACCTTGGCAGAGGCTATCATTGGAGGGCATTTCCCATCAAGACCAACAAGCTCTTGGTATACTGGTATAAGCCACTATCCTATTTGAATACTGGAGAGAAAGTAGCTACTAGAAAGGCAGACATCTAGTTAAGCAAGTAACTGAATTAGCTATCGCTGTTGCACAGGCAGCATACCCTGGATACCAATTCTCAGTTCTTTTCAACAATTCCTCTAATCATGGAGCCTTTACACAAGATGCCTCACTTGCCTAGAATATGAGTCTGGGGCCTGGAGGAAAGCAAAATTGACTATAGGATGAGTATTTTAGGAAGTCAGGTCAATAGGGGCAAAGTATGTGGGAGTTTTATATCAATTAGGAGGGGATACAGGATACAAGGCAAAAGGGAATAAGAAGAGTACTTGAGGAGCAAAGTCTATAGCCAGAGGAAGGGGATAGGCTACTTTTAGAATGTGTGAAAAAGCTTTGTATTAGTTGCCTAGCAGTTAAAAGCTACAAAGAGTGCATTTCTGTTACTCAATATATGGAGTGCCAGAAAGAGAGGGTATGCAGTAGCTACTATACAAGGAGGAGGAAGTGTGATGAGTGTGAATGACATCGTACTTGTTCTGTATGCACTAAGAAGATATACTGCCTACGTTGCCATTACCATAGTACAAAAGAATATGTGGATTGTGCCAACCTAGGTGCTCGATGTGAAGGGACTAGTAAGTGTTTCTATTATTACACTTATATACTATACATGATACCAAGTAATACACAGATCAAGCCGCAATAACTACCTGCTTTTATTTAAAAACTAATTACAAAACTAATAAATTAATGTATTTAGATTGCTGTGCACGGTCACTCATGGCATCACAACTAGACTTCCAGCTTCAAAAGTCAATGCTTGTAGAAGAGATAGAACAATGCGGTCATTTAGTCATGTTCTTCCCAAAATTTCATTGCGAGATTAGCTGGATCATATACTTTTGGACCTAGTGCAAAAGATATGCCCATGAGTATTGCAACTACACACTTACTGGACTACAGGCTCAGATTCCTGATGCCCCAGCATCTGCCAAAGAGACTATGATACATGGCTGTTATCACCAATGCCTACAGTGAATTCAAGCCTTTCATAGTGGAGTCACCTACGGCACTCCAGACTATAACAACTATGTCAAAGAATACAAGCCACACCAGAGAGTATACTTTTGTGAGGCAGATTTGCAATAGTGTTTTTTTTTTTTCATTTTTTTTTTCACATTTGATTTATATTTGAAGTGGGAATGGGTGGGTACTAGGGGGTACATGGGTGAGAGTTCTATGGAGGTGGGCAATACAATTGTCATCAACCTTACAGCTTAGTCCTGCAATAGCAGCCCTTCTCCTGAAAATCTCCATTCCCATATATGCTATATATTCTTTTAGTTTTCTTGAATTAAAGACTGAAAATATTTCCTATTTCTATCTTTCACCATCATAGTGCTGGCCAATGTTAGCCAAGGATTGCCAAGGATTGCCACGGAATTCCATTTTTATTGCAAAAACAACCCTGTTCGAGTTCATGAAAAAGTGAACAAGAGGGTCGGTTTCAGACGTCCGGAACTATACCATAGTTCATTTTTCCGGCCAACGACTCATGAACTGTGAATCGGCTGTCTGAACCGTGGTGAACCGCCGGTGTGAAACCCGGTAATGGTATGATTAGGGGAAAACACCTCAGGCCAAAGACACAAGTATCACATAATAAATCTACCATAATCCTCAGTCACAGCGCCTACATGCACCCCGGTACAGTACAGTACTCGAGTGGTGTGTGCAGCGACGTCCTAACCAACCGACCCACCCCACCACACCGCCCGACGCCCGAAACTCCTACCGGTACTGCTACCGTACCTCATTCCACTAGTACACGCGAGCAAGCACAATCCGATCCCCATGACATCCCTCGACTAAGTTAGTGCCAAACAAGTAAGTAATAAAATTTCTACAAAGCTCATATATTCGATAGCCCAAAGCCGCAGGCATGAGAGGAAAAAAGAAAGCGAACACGATACCTAGCAGAACCTACTATCTCTCCTCCCTTTCACTTCCCTTACCATATAGATTCTAATCGTACCAGTACTATACCCGTAACCTATGGTACAAATAAGGTACTGTAAAAGTCAGGCGCCGGGCAAGATAATCTGTTCCATCCAAGGACAACGTCTTAGCACATTTATCTTTGTATTCGAGTTTTAAAGTACGTGATAGTGACACCAAAAGCCAACCCTCCTATTCAACCCTCCCTAAGCCCAGTACCTGTGATGTAAGTTGAACAAAAATGTCGAGCCATGGCAAAGAGTTGGGTTTGGGTTCGCGTTCGCGCCGTTCTCTTCCCAATGCTCACTTTACCAGGAAACGGAGTTGACAGAATCCAATAGAAGGCGATTTTAAGTAGCCCCATTGGTAGTTTTTCTCCAACAACTTTGTGGTTGGGGACCCATTATTCTCGGATCTCGTCTTGGTGAGGGTGGATTTCAGACGCATGGCATACAAGTAGTACCCGCCTACAAACGTGCGGCCGGCTACTGCGCTGTCCTAACACCTTGCGTCTTAGTAGACTAAGTTATCAATCCTCCCGGTGTAGCGCGGAAGCTGTCTCCTTCCTGGGATAGCAAAGAGTTGGCAGGACGGTAAGATGGCACCGTATGAGGTTAAGCTGCAGTGCTGTCAAGTTGTACTAGTACAAGTACTTGTAACATTTCAGCGAGTTTATCACGTTTCCTGTTCAAGTTTAGCCATCTGAGTGGGGGTGTCCAAGTGGCATGGGTACAGCGCATGAACGATTGCTAATGGTAATCTACTAGCAACTAGCGGGTAGGGTGGAACGCCGTTAGCATCCCAAATTGCTCTACTTAATATATTATGCCGGTATTTAAAGTAGTGCACGAGTACTCCTAGCGAGGGGGTTGCTCAGACTTGCCCCCCGTTAAGTAGGGAGGCGGTAGTGTCTGTGTTCAGGGTCCAGTGTTTCTATTTATGGTAGGTACTCGTATACGATAATAGGAAGGTAAGGTTGGAGGTTAGGGAGGAAAAGGTATGATATCATAAGTTGATACTGACACCGGAACCAGAGAGGTGCAACATCATATCCAGATGTAATGGGAGAGGCAACGGGTTGTTTAGGATTAAGCCCTATTCACTCAGTTACGGTATTCCCTAAAAACTAGTTTTCTTGTTTAATTATTTACTAGCCTTTATCTACCGTACGACTAGCTCAAGCTACTTGTATTATCCCGGCCGGTTCCCGAATTGACTAGAATACCGACCGCCAGGGACTGGTTTCCAGCCCGGCTCGGAGTCCGCTTGGGCTTTTGCCAGTAACAAGGAAGCTTTTTGGCGTTCGGCGGATTCGCGCTGCAATTTTTCTTTGCGGAGGGATTCTAGAGTTGGGTTTGGGGATATGGATCTTGATCCTGAGTCTGATCCTGACCCGCGATGGTGGGAGCGAGAATGGTGGTGATGGCTGTGACGACCTGGGTCATCTCGATGGTGTCTGTGTCTGCGGCTCTGGGAGTGGGAAACTGAGCGAGAGTGGGAGTGGGAGTGTCGCTTGTGGCTTCTGTCATGTCGATTTGGACTGCCACCTCCGCTTCGACTAAAGCTCCTTCTCCTTCTCTTTCTACCGCTATCTCTCCCACCCCTATCAGCTCGCTCAATCCTCTCGGCCTTTTCATCCCGCCCATCTTGCCAGCCCCTAGCTTCGGCCCCACCTACCTCTCTCTCCCTCCTTCTCTTCCACTCCTCCCTATCCCGGCGCGCCTCCTTCACCTCCCTAACCCCCCTCCTTATGACCCCCAGCGGATCCCCCGCCTCCTTCCTCCTATCATCCCTCTTCCCTTCCCACTCTGACTTCCTCCCATCCTTCTCCTTCTCCCTCTGCCGTCCAGACACAAGGTCAACAGTAGAATACCAAGGTCGTCTCTCACCAACAGCCTTTCCCATTGCCCCCTCCGCCCGCTCCTTCTCTTCCCTCTTCTCCCTCTCCCTTTCCGGGTTCCCGCCTTGTGGGGCCGTAGGGGCCGGGAAGAGGTTGATGTGTCCGTCCGCGCCCAAGATTCCACCCTCTAAGGGTTGGCGAGGCCGGTGATCCTGAGTTTCAATATGACGGGCGGTCTGCTCCAGGGCCCCGCGTTCCGGCCCCCTCTCCGCTGCCACCGCGGAACCCCCCTCCCTGGCTCGCTCTCGTAATAGCTTCATCCGAGCTTCCGCGTCGGCAGCTTGCATTCGCGCATCCTCCGCTGCCTCGCGAGCCGCGGCATCCACCTCGTCGCGGCGCACACGAGCAATGTTCTCGGCGGAGTACACATGATAGGACTTATGGTGGAGGAGGTGGAGGGGCATGTTGTTCAGCGTGGGAATTGTAGCGGTTGATGTCGAAAGGGAGTTTGTGAGCGAAAATTAGATGGGTTGTGATCGCAACCGTTATCGCCAAGACGCCAAGATTAAGCGTTACTCTGATGCTGGTATAGTGGGGTCACGCATTGAAGTGAACATCGAGTGATAAAATATGACGTGCGTCAAGGCCTCCTATGAATCATAGTAGCGACCCACACCCGCACGAGGCTAGGAATGATCAAGAATTCCTACTGGCTGTGTTTGCTACAGATGTGCTTATCCTTATCCTTATCCTCATCCTCCTCTTCCTCATCTCAGCGCAACAATTCCCCACCCCACAGGTCCATAAACAAGGCCAAAGCCACCATTGGTCGCGCAATGTTTCGCAACCTTGTTTGTTTTCTTTGCCCTACAAGGAGGGGGCGCAATGCTCGACTGGTTCTTCTTTTCCCGCGTGCCCCGAAGCATGTTAGGTATGGGGGTCACGCGGGTTGGTATGGTAAGGTATTTATTGTTCCTGCATGGCTCTTGTGGGATTGGTTAGAATTGGTCTCTTGTAAATTGAGTGAGATATGCCGGTAGGTGGGTGGAATGACTGAGGTTGACGGAAGGTTTTCACTTTTTGGTTTGGGAGAGGGGGGGGGGGTGAAGTAAAAAATATATATTTTGTTAAAGATTTGGCAGAACTGGATATATAATAATATATATATATAAAGAAAAAATCCCAAACCCTTCCATATCCAACACCCATAACCGTTAAACTAATCGAGAGGAATGTAGCAGAGAGAGAAAAAAAACAGAAACCCGTGTATCATACAAATCCCGCCATGTCCCATTACCCACTCCATAATCACCAATTATCACCGCCGCGTCCGTACCTCCCCATCCCCATCCTCATCCTCCTCCCCAACCCGTAAGTACCCCCCCCTAACCTCCTCCTTCTTCAGGAACTCCCCATCCTTCGCAACAGCCCTAAGCCCGAAAACACTGCTCTGATCAGTCTCACCGCTACTCCTCCCACCTGCCTCCATCTGACTACACCTCTTCGGTGGCGGCGTCCGTACAGAACTCCGCCTTGATGTACCGGGGCTAAATTCTACATGCACCGGCGTAACAATGCGCCCGATACTCGCTGTGCGAACGTGTGCTCTCGCCGGAAACTCCACCCTCGCCTCGGAGGAAGCGGAGGAAGGGGTACTAATTGACGGGGGGGTGCCGATGAGGCCCGCACCAGTGTAAAACTTTCCCATGGTGGCGGTGTTAGCGGCGGTTGACCCCTCCGAGACTTCGTAGATATCAAGCGTCGGGCTGTGCGATGAAGAGAGCACCCGTGCCACTGTTGAATTCTCAGATTCGCGTCTGCGGCGGGTGGATTGCTGGGATACGGTTTGCCGCGTTGCACCTAGGACGCCGGGGTGTGGTCGATGTAACGGTGCGCTGATGGATCTCTGTTGGTGGAAGCGGTAGCTTGGCGGCATGGCAAAGGCGCCAACTTCTTTTTCGAAGGCTGATAGGTTAGTGCTTGTTGCTGGGGGGCGCGTACGCGGCTTCTCGCCCTCCTCATCGTAGAAGGTGGTCGGTGAGATGGAGGAGGGAGCAAAGCGCACGTTTTGTCTACTCCCCGGACTTCGGCTTCGTGCACGCCGGCGTTGAGTGGCTATGTATGCTATTATCGCTAGTACGAGGAATACCACACCACCGAGGATACCGCCAACCATGGGACCGATGGCTGGGGTTTCTCTAGGAGTTGAGTTTATTGGGGTGCTGCCGGTGAGGAATATTGCTATGGAGGTTCTGGACGCGGGAGTTAGGTTGCTCCTCCGTGCGGGGGAGGGTACGGCCGAGAGGTGGAATTTGTTAATCGTCGGCGGGGCGTTGATTAGGTAAACGTGTTCCAGAAATGGACGACCCAGGGAAGGACCGTCGTTTGGGGAAATGGGGGCTATGCGAAGGTAGGTCAATCCGGATTCACGTTGGGAGGATAGTGGGTTGTCGGTGATTTCATCTGTAGTTATTAGGGATGTCGCCGGGATGCTAACTACTATGCTCGAGGTTCCGTTTGAGAGGGTTATGCGCAGGGTGTAGTCTGTTGGAGGGATGCCGCTATAGACGTACCCGTTCACACCTCTGTCGTAGCTTGGGCTCCCAAGGAGTGGGAGCAGCGGGATGAGCATGTTCGACGGCAATCTTAATTGAGAGGAATTGTACGAGAGCGCCATATGAGTACCTCCCGTTGTGGACTTGTACACTTCGGTTTCCTTACTCCCTCCTCCCCCTCTTCCAATGTACTTGACGGAGGTAACGGCGACATCAAACCCCTCGGAATTAACATTCGCCTTGGAGAAAACCGCCTTATTCCCATGATCGATAAGCCCCCCGTCAAATCCACCCATCACCGCCGACCCATTAACACCCTCCGAGCCTAGGTGCAACGAAACAACGTCCATCTCTGGAACCTGCGAATTTCTTGCTCTCTGCAGTGCGCTCAACCCGACCATTCCATACCCTAAAACACCCTCATAGATGATGTTGACCGGCAGTCCCTCCAGCGAGAACTCATCCCGGGGCTTTGTAGTATTCCAGGAAGCGGTGGTGGTGCCAATTCCTTCGCCAAGGGTCACACCAGAGATGAAGTCCCCGTCGAGGGTCTCGTTGTAGTACCCATTCTTGCCAAGCGCTTTTATGCATGCAGCATATTCTTCTGTAGCTTCTGCAAGAGCAGAAATCATCGTAGAGTTGGAGGTCGAGTTCGCAGGCCCCATTGTGAAGAACCCGGAGATTGACCGTCGTGGGGGGTCCTCCGTCCAGAGCATTAGGGAGTAGTCGCTTCCGGAGGTTAGGTTAGCGCTTGTGTAGGTGTTGTTCACGTTCCAGGGGTATTCGCCATCATTGGAGATTTCGGCTATGGGAGAGAGTGATTTAGCATGATTCCGTCACCAACCCAATGGCTTCTCCACAAAATGATATTTCGTGTTTCGGTATTTTATATTATTTTTATTTTTATTGGTGAGGAAAGTGGGGGGGGGGTACCCTCGATCAAAGAAACATTCACAATACTCTCCCCCCTTCCCCTCCTAAGCGTGAGGTTCAAGCTCTTGACGTCAGAACTTGCCCTCCACCTCACAATCTGACTACCACCACCTGATACTAATGCTTCATCACCGGAGGAAGTCCCCACGAAGGAACCCTCTCGCGGCTCTGTTATTGGATTCCAATCCCCTTCTGGAGGGGAGGAAGCCGCGAGACATATTGCGCCAGTGGGGATCAGCAGAGTTGCCGAGGGAGATGTGTAGAACGTTGGCAGGAGATGCAGTATCTGGGGTGGGGAACCGAGTGCCAAAGAGATGGTTGTGGAGAATTCGAAGGATACTAGTTCCGCGACTTCCTGTGAGCGGGTGAGAAGTGTCCATTGTGTGAAGAGGAGGAGAAGAGAGAATGCTTGGATCGGCATGTTGGATTAGGGCCCATTCACAAGGCAGACGAACCAAGGGGAGGGGAGGTGGGAACTATGGGGAGATTGCGAAAGGGAGTATCGCAGACTCCTGAGGTTGGAAGGAGTAGAAAGAGAGGGAAGAAAGGAAACGAATGTACAGTACTGTACCATCCCCAGCACGAACAAGGTAGTTCTAGCACGCCGCAGAAAGGCTATTGCTGAGCGCGGGGGTACTGCTGTAGCGAGCGAGCTGTCCTTCTTGCCCCAACTCACATACTGTGCCCGGGTGCTGCAGAGAGTACTGAAGTATTTGCTTTAGCCCACCTGCCACTGCAAGACGTTGGTTACACTACAGTACTTGCATTCTCGTGGACTTGTACTCGTACTTCCTGTCTGTTTACGGTATCCCTTTGGCGTTATTTACTCTCATGCAACCACCGCCCCCGTGATTCCTAACTGGATAATATCCGAGGTGTCGGTCTTCTCTGCCTTCCTTCATACTGCAATCTCGGAAAATGTAAAATAAATTCATCCAATCATAAAGCACCTCCCTTTCCATAGGTGAACAACCGATGGGCAGGTTAAAAACTGCAATGGTGGCCGGGGGGGAGGGACGGGTACTTTATCTGGTGTGATTGGGAGCACGGCTGGGTCAAGGGGGCGGAACTGGAATTAGACTTGGCACTATTGGAGGAAAGTTGTCCGACTACCAGTGCTTAAGGAGTTAAGTGAAGTTGGGGTTTTCGGGTGGCGTATGGTACTACCTCCGTAGTATCTATGAGGAAAGTTAAAATAAAAATTAAAAGAACGAAAAATATGGGGGTAGGTTTTTGGAGGGTCTGTCAATCACATTACAGTATGATAAGAGGGAGTGAGAGAATGGGAGGGGAGGGAGGAATCAAAAGAAGTTGCTTGTTTTGGCTGCATGAGCTATGCGGGTACACCCAAACGGTGGTGTGCACAATGGATAACGGTGCCGTCGACCACCGTCCAGTCCCCGTCGCTGTCCATGATAGTCCGTCTTTATCTCGTGCAACCCCACAGGCTAGAATTCTTTGACCAACTTTCCGGTACCCTTGCCTTACTGTCCCTAACTTCTAACTTCACCACGGTGATAGCCATAATCAGAGAAGATCTTCCCTCCACAAGTCAATCACCTTCGCAAAATCCACGGAACCAAAACCTCCGCACTGGGACCCGGAAAAACACTGGCTGAGGCACGTTGCGATGGGGCACGACACCATAGTATCGCTTGCGAGCGGACGAGCCCCACCCGGTAGGTACCGTCCTGCCTAAAATAAAATCGACGGGTTTACCTTACCGGTATCTCATGCCAGTTGGTGGCGCGTGGGGGCTTATATTCATGTACGAGTACTCGAGTAGACTGAAAAGAGAGAGAGCCTCAATGTGACCTTGCATTTTCTCTTCGTCTTGAGGGATATTAATAACTCCTTCTCGGGTGCACGTATCATATCACTTTTTTTCGCGTGATGGTGATTGAGGGGCTGTGGGGCAGGGCGTCTACGACAGAACAATGTTCCGGACGATCCCCTTCCTCTACGGGAAGGGCGAG